CTGTAAAGTACCCATTTCTTACGATTTGTGCATCGTCAAGGCTAGCGCATTTTGTGATTAAAAAGTCAGCTACTATGTAGCATGCTTGATATTGTATTTGTTTTGATTCTGTTGTTTGTAGTAATTTGATTAATGGTATTTTATCTATTTTGTTTGGTATGGGGGGTGAACAATAATCTACATTTAATGTGTTAAATGATGTTATGTTCATTTTACTGCCTGAGCAGTCGTATGCTATGAAACCTTTGGTTTGTTGTATTATATATGTTATGTTTATGATTGTTATGTATAAAATATATTTGTACTTATACATATTAGTAGTGTGATATATATTGTTATTCGTTACCATTTTCTGTGGATTCCGTGTCCTCACATGAAATGGTGTTGTCCCTTTTGATGTATGGTTTCAAACGTCTAATATGAATGATATCTTGTGTTAGTTTATTATTTAATATAAGTTCTATAATGTAATTTACATCATTCTTTTTTGAAATTACTTTGTATGGACCTCTGTATTTGGGAGCTAGTTTTTGTGTTTTGTTTTGTTCTTGAAATGGAAATTTAACCAAAACTAATTGATTTGGTTCATATGTGGTAAGTTTATGTATTTTGTCATGATTTATTTTTTGTATTTCTTGAGCTTTTTTTATATAATTGGGGATGCTTTCCCTTACTAGTTTTAGTTCCTCAAGTGATTTTTTTATGTCGTAAGATAAGTTTTCTGGTATTATTTGTATGTCTATACCTATGTTTGCGTTGAAACCGTGTAATAGGTAGTATGGGCTGTGATTTGTCGATATTTGTGGTGAGTTGTTGTAGCTAAATATTATGTATGGTAAATAAAATGACCATCTTGATTGGTTGTTGTCTTTTATATAATGTCTTATTGCTTGACATATTACTCCATTGATTCTTTCAGTGAAGCCTTGTGATTGAGGTGCATAGCTGGATGAAAATATTTGTTTGATTCCAAAGCTTTGACAGGTTTCGTTCATTATTTTATTTTTAAAGTGTAAACCTCTGTCAGAAGTAAGGTATCGTGGTACACCATATTGTGTGATATATTGAATAAGAAATTTGGCTACAGTGTTAGCGTCAGAGCACTTTGTTGCTTTGGCTATGACGTATTTGGTGCTTTGGCATGTAAAGACTAGTATGTATTTTTTGTTGTTGCTGCTAGGTAATGGTCCTAAGAAGTCAATAGTAATTCTGTCTAATGGTTTACATTTAGGTAATGGTATTGGTTGTAGGCATCCTGCAGGTTTACCTTGTGATTTTTTATTTATTTGGCATTCATGACATGATTTGATGAAAGTTGTTATGTCTTTTATTAATGTTGGCCAATAATATTTTATTTGAATTGCTTTTATTGTTTTTGTGATACCCATGTGACCTGCTAGAGGGGGGTTATGATGAGCTGTTATAATATTTTGAATTAAGTTTTTTGGTATTACAATGGCGTTTTCTATATTTTGTTTAGGTATGTGTCTTTTAAGGTATAGTATTTGATTTGTTATTGTATATCTTCTGGATATTCTTTTGTATTTATTTGACGTAGGTATGTTGTTTATCGCTTTTATTATTTCTTTACAAAATTCGTCATTATTTTGACTTTGTATTATATTAATTTCTGTGGGTTTTTTAGCGTTTATATTATATATGATGTGTTCTTGTTTATGAAGTTGGGATTCGTGTTTAAAAATTACAGCGTCTATAATGTTCATAATGTGTTCTCTTGATAGACAATCTGCGACTTTATTTTCTTTCCCTGCTTTGTGTTTTATTATGAAATCGAAATCTAATATTTTTAGTGTTAGTCTAGCTATTCTGGCAGATGGTATTTTTAAATTCTTATAATATTGTAAACTGATGTTGTCGGAGAATACTGTAAATTTTCTTCCCCATAGAAATTCTCTAAAATATGTTATACCAAATACTAGTCCTAAAAGCTCTAAAGTTGTGGATGAGTATGTTTTTTCTGATTCTAGAACTTTTCTTGAAGCATATCCTACTGGTCTTAGTTTATTTGTGTCGTCTGGTTGTTCGAGAACAGCGCCAAGACCAGTTATACTAGCGTCGACAGTTAAATAGGTCTCTTTGTCATCGGAAAAGTGTGCAATTACCGGTTCAGATGTTAAAATCAATTTTAGTTTTTTAAATGCATTTTCGTGATCATCTGTCCATGTTATGGATTTATTATTTTCATGTTTAGTTAATTGAAATAATGGGTGAGCTATGTGTGAGAAATCTTTTACTAGTCGCCTATAGTAGCTGCATAATCCTAGAAAGCTGCGAACTTGTTTGGCTGTTTTGGGTTGTTCAAAATTGGTTATAGATATAGTGTTCTTAGCTAATGGTTTAATGCCTTGGCTAGATATTTGGTGACCTAAAAGTTCAATTTTATTTGCAAATATATTACATTTTGCTGTTTTTAGTGAAAAGCCATATTGACTTATTATTTCAAAAACCTTCTTTAAATTGTATAATGCAGATTCGAAGTCAGATCCGAAAGTTGCTAGGTCGTCTATGAATATGATTACTGATTTATATAAATATTCTGAAAAAGCTTTGTTAAGTTCTCTTTGGAAAATTGCACTTGAATTTTTGAAGCCTTGTGGTAGTCTTGTGAAAGTCATTAGACCATGAACCGTAGTAAATGCTAACATATATTGATCTTGTTCTCTAACCGGAATTTGAAAGAATCCTGAGTTAAGATCAATTGTCGTGAAGAACTTTGAGCTTTCTAAGCTCCGGAATAAGTCTGTTGTTCTAGGTAATGGATATTGGTCAGATTCTACTATATTATTGAGTTCTTTGTAAGATACAACGAGTCTATAATTGTTTTTCTCTTTTTTGCGTACCAGGAATGCAGGAGATGCAAAATTGGATTTAGTATGCTTTACTATGTCTGCAGTTATTAATTTATCTAATTGTGTTTTTAGTTCTTGTCTTTGGGATGGGGAGACTCTATGTGGTGGGTTGAATTTTGGTTCTTTTGTGTTTGGTTTTAGTTTGATTTGACATGGTTGTACCTTTGCAGGTTTTATGTGTGCTGTATCAGTAGAGAATATATGTATAAATTGTTTTAATAGTTGTACTACTTGATTATGTTGTTCTAATGTTAAGTCTTTAGATATGTTAATTTGGGTTCCCTCATTATCATATATTGTTTCTCTGTTATCGCTGATAATTGTGTTTATAATTTCTTTGTTGTGATTTGTTTTATTGTTTATTTGTGTTTCTAAATTGAATCTTTTTATTATGTGTTCTATTGAAATGTAATTTTTTGTGTAAATTATTTTCTGTGGTATTTTATTTGATTTAGATTTATTTTTTATTAGTGTACCTGGACACCAATGTGTTCCATTGTTTAGATTATATAATACTATGGGGGGTCTAAATCCTGAGCCATATACATATCCATTTTTGGTTGAGTCAGAATAAATATATGTGTCAAAACCAAAGTGATTTGCAATGCTACTTAATTGGTCATCATGCCACCAATAATTAGGTAATTCAGATAATTGTAATAGATTCATTATATTGGCCAATGTAACTATTTTTTTTGGTTTATTGTCATTGATAGCGTTTGTTAATGCGTATAATCCGCAATTTCCGTCAGATGGTACGTTTTCCCCTATATGGTATTTAGAAAAGATTTCGCTATACTGTGGGTGTTCACTTTCTGTGTCATTGTTGGTTTTTGTAATGGTGTTGTATGTGTTTTTTATATTAGATATGATTTTTGATTTTTGATTTTTATGTGTGACGGGCGTGTTACATATGAGCAAGTGTACTCCCGTATCATTAAATACTTCAAATATCATATCGTATATTATGTCCCATTGAAGCTCATTGTTAGTTATGTTGTCCATGCATATTGCTATGTATTCATATCCTTCAGTTAATGCACAATTTTTTAGATTGTATAAATTGTCAAAAATGTCTATGTAGAATGTTTTTATATCGTGTTTATCTTTGGATATTAGGTAATGTATGGTTCTTTCGTCTGTGTCGATTGTTGTTATTTCACCCGGTATTAATTCTAGGTTGTCGAGTATATAGGACATGTTACCGTATTTTTGTGTTATTCTGTTTGATAAATGTGTATTATGTTGGAGGTCGGCTGAAATAGTTTGTGCTATAGAGTATTTGGGTGTGACATTTAGTATATCTATATCGTCTTCGATTATATTGCGCGATTTTTTACGTTTAATATTTTTGTGTTCTATATTATCAACATGGTTTTCGGTATGTTTGAAGTTGTTATTTAATATTCTAGTTTTAACGGTTTTATTTAGCGTTATAAGTTTTTTTGTGTAGTCGATTTTGGCTTTATTGACGGTCAAAAATTCATTCCCGAGGATTATAGTGCTGCTTAGATCTTTTATTACGCATACATTTATCGGGAATATTTTATTTTCAATTTTTAAATCTATGTTGGCGGTGCCGATCAGTTGAAGTGGTGTTTTATCTGGACCTGATAGTTGGTATCTATTGGAAGGACATATTAATTTTGTATTTATTAAGTCTGGACGAATGCAATTAATGTTCGCCCCGGAATCTATAGTTACTTCAATGTCTTCATTATCTAATTCGGCTATTATGTATAATGCATTGGCTTTCCTATCTTTATTTAATATGGTGTTTATTTGATCTTTTTTATGTGGGTTGTGGTTTGTCGGTTTATTGATTTGTTTTGTTTCATTATCTGGGACATAAGGGTAATGCGGTGTTCCAGATTGTGCATTTGACCATTTTATTCGTTTTTTGATTTGGAGTCTACGTTTTTTGAGTAACATGTTTCGGCTGTATGATACCTTTTGCCGCATATTGTACAGATCAGTTTCCATTTACATTCTGAGCTGTTGTGGTTATAATAGTTACAATGTTCGCATTGAATTCTTTTGTCAGAATTAGTGAAGTTGGGTTTTCTGTTGTGATAGCTGTTGCGTGCTTGTGGATCATTGCCCTGATTGCTGTTGTATCTATTGGAATTATTATAATTGGGACGGTTGTCTCGTTTTTTCGTAATTTGAATTTTGGATATAATTATTTTTATTGCTGTTGACCTGACCCTGATGTAATCGGTTCGTATATTGACGGTTAATTTCGGGACGATTTGTATATTGATTGTTGTTGGATTTGCCGAAGTTTTTATTATTGTTGATAATTTGTTGATTTAAGTTATTTATTGTTGTTTCTAAGTTCGATATTTGATTCGTTAATGTGTCTATTTGCTTTTTAGTTTTATTTTCTTCTATTATATTTACGTGTTCTTTTGTAATTTGTGTCCTAATGTCATCGTTGGATTGCGTGGTTTTTCCGTTAATCATAAATTCTATAGATTCATATTTTCTTATGTTTTTCTTTAAGTCTTCTAAGTTAGTATTATCTAATATTCCTACATATCTGGCAATTTCTGGTTTAAGTCCTTTCATTATGGTATGAGCTATTTCTGATTGTGACATATTGGGATCTATTCTTTTGCATAGGTTTTCCGCGTCATTTATATATGAGGCGGTCGTTTCTTCGGGTAATTGTTTTCGTTTTTCGAGCATTGTTCTTAACATGTGTTTCTGAGCTGTTGGTTCGAATTCTAAACGTAGGGCTCTCTCTACTTGGTCCCAGTTGCTTGTCGGGTAATTATTTTCAAAATTATCTAAGAAAGTTGATGCCGTATTTACAAGATAAATAGGTAGAAAAGATTTTTTTTGTTCTACGGACCATGCATTTATGTTGCTGGCTTTGTTATATTTTTGTATAAAGGAGTCAATGTTTTCGTGAATTGCTCCGGAAAATTTAGTTGGTTTATAAAATGGTGTTTTGTCTGACATTATTTTATTGTTTTTACTGAAATCTGTGTCTAACCACTCTCCTTTCAAATATCTAAATAATCTGGATTTTAATTCTGTTATTTTTCCTTCAGTATTTAATTTTCTTTTTTCGAGTTCTATTTTTATTTGGTTATGATTTAGTTTAATGATGCTATAACAGGATTTTGTTATAACTGTTAGAGTATTTATTTCTTCTTGTTCTATATTTTCGTTTTGTGGCGTGTTATTATTTTCGTTGTCTGACATATAGTTTTTATTTTTATATAGTATGATATTGAAGAGTATTCTAATATTTGTATAATTTCTAATAATAAAGCTTCAAATGTGGGTGGAAATAAATAGCCTCTTGTTGTATGTTTTGTTATAAAGTATTGAAAAAATTTTAGTAGTCTGGTGTCGTTTATATTGGTTTGGTTTCCAGCGAGTTTTGTTAAATGTTTAATTATGTTGTGGTATTGTGTATTTATGGTGATTTTTGTTTTAAGGTCTATTGTTGTAATTATTATTCTTATGCTTTGTTTTAGTAATATTAATATTTTTATTTGTTGAGTGTTAGTAAGATGTCTTAGATTATTTTGTATTGCGTTCATTTGAGGTGGAATTAAATAATTTGCATTTATTTATTGAATAATTGATTGTGAATTTATATTTCATGTATATATATTTTTTATTTGAGCGTAATAATAACGTAACCTGTTGGGCGCCAATATGTAATGGGTAAACATATACGAGGTGGGGGATTAGGGGCTGTATTATTAGAGAGAGAGATGTAATGCCCGATGGCACGATAATGAATCTTACGCTTTTATTTATTTGGTGGGGTGTGATTATATTTAATATGTGGAGCCTCTAATTTAACTTATAGAATTTCCCTTTACTAAATATTATTATGTATATGTGTGTTTATTATTTAAGTGCATGCTTTAATTTTAATATGTGCGCACTTTAGCACTTACCTTGTTTGGATGTGAATATGCTTGTCTTCTGTGACTCTCGAGTTGTGGATTAGATACACGTTATTTATTACCTCTTCTATTGATGATTTATGATTTGTTAAGTTGAATTGAAGTATGTATTTTTTATGTAGGAAATAAGAATAATATGGAAAGGAATTTAATAAAGTTAACACGTATTTGATTCAGTTATAAATGTAAGAAGATGAACGTAACGATATGAGTTAGTACTTAGGTGTTTGGATATTTGTGTGAGACGTGAGTGTAAAATATAAGTTAAGTTAAAACTTGGCAGATAGATGAATAGTAATTTATGCGTAGATGTGTGGCGTAGAGAAAAATGGCACTGCGGCTATGTGGATATATGATGACACTACGACGCTACGACACTGGTCAATTCTCTTCTCTTCGCTCCGCTCCTTGAACGCCGTCTCTGATCTGTCTGCTCTGTGTCTTTGGTGTGGGCTGTACTTATATAAGCGTATCATAATTGCCGTCGCATGTCGCAGCATCACCATCCGTGTATAGGGTGTAGCTATTCTTTGTAGTGTATTCGTATTGTTTTATTACGGTGTGTATGGATGCGTCTTATGAACTATTCTATCCTATATGTATGTGTGTGTGTTTTATATAATTTGGGGAGATTTTTATGTATATTTTAATTGTTGTTACATCATTTCCTGTATAATTCGGGATGTGATTGTTCAATAATTTTTATATTATATGATTGATTTTGGTGTACATAATAATTGTTGTGTCATCATGTTTTAGATGATGGGGTGCAATTATTGTAATATGCTGTGTATTTACAACGTCTTATTATATTTTATGTGATCTACTTATATGAGAATTATATTATAATATTAATCATTTATATATGGCCGATTTAATTACATTATATGTGCCACACCCAAGTACTTATACTCATATTGGAAGTCCCTTTTTACCTTTTTATTATTAACAAGACTTGTATTATTTATATATTACAATAACAAAACTCAAAAGGTAATTAAAAAAAAAAAATCAATGGACATTGACTTATTCATACGAAGTACATCCCCAGTGAGATTGGCTCCAATATAATTTTAACTTGACAATATTTTTTAAATCCAAAATATACAATGTGCATATAAAATGAACATTGAAAAATATACAAAAATATTTGTTTATTTTTGAATACAACAAATGTAGGTACCATACAACAATTTACATAACATAATTAACATTTTGAAAGTGATAGGTACCATAGTAATATTATGTCAACATTATTTATCCAATTTTATTATAAACCTTGGATTATAGACCATTGATAAATCCAATCAGTGTTCCTTGTGCTTCCGCTTGTGTGCCACCAAATTGCCACTTACAGAGAACGCATCGCATGAGTACGGTTTTTCACCAGTGTGTGTACGTTGATGTTTCGTTAAACTGGTACTTTGGCTGAAGGATTTGTCACATACATCGCATGCGTACGGTTTTTCTCCAGTATGTTTGCGTCGATGTTTCGATAAATTGGTATTTTGACTGAAAGACTTGTCACATACATCGCATGCGTACGGTTTTTCGCCAGTGTGTGTTCGTTTGTGTATCGTTAAACTGGCATTTTGGCTGAAGGATCTGTCACATACATCGCATGCGTACGGTTTTTCTCCAGTATGTGTGCGTCGATGATTCGTTAAATTGGTACTTTGGCTGAAGGATTTGTCACATACATCGCATGCGTAGGGTTTGTCACCAGTGTGTGTACGTTGATGTTTCGTTAAATCACAACTTACAGCGAAAGACTTGTCACATACATCGCATGCGTACGGTTTTTCGCCAGTGTGTGTTCGTTTGTGTATCGTTAAACTGGCATTTTGGCTGAAGGATCTGTCACATACATCGCATGCGTACGGTTTTTCTCCAGTATGTGTGCGTCGATGTTTCGTTAAATCAGTACTTTGGCTGAAGGATTTGTCACATACATCGCATGCGTAGGGTTTGTCACCAGTGTGTGTACGTTGATGTTTCGTTAAATCACAACTTACAGCGAACGACTTGTCACATACATCGCATGCGTACGGTTTTTCTCCAGTATGTGTGCGTCGATGTTTCGTTAAACTGGTACTTTGACTGAAGGATTTGTCACATACATCGCATGCGTAGGGTTTTTCGCCAGTATGTGTGCGTTTGTGTATCGTTGAACAGGTACTTTGGCTGAAGGATTTGTCACATACATCGCATGCGTAGGGTTTTTCTCCAGTATGTGTGCGTCGATGTTTTGTCAAATGGGTATTTTGACTGAAAGACTTGTCACATACATCGCATGCGTACGGTTTTTCGCCAGTGTGTGTTCGTTTGTGTATCGTTAAACTGGCATTTTGGCTGAAGGGTTTGTCACATACATCGCAGGCATAAGGTTTTTCGCCAGTATTCTTACGTTTATGTCTTGTCAAATTGCTACATGGGATGAATGACTTGTCACAGACATCGCAAGGGTAAGAGTTCTTCTCCATCTGTCCGATTATCTGTCGTTAGTCGCTTCTATTAGTAAATAGTTTATTTCAAATGTAATAGTTTTTCATACGATTATTTGGTTACTATGTTTTTCTGTTTGTGATCAATTAGAATGTATTAACATCATCAAAATATTTTAAAGCCAGTATTTGTTGTATTACATTTTAAACATAAAGTAGAGATTAATATTATTATGCTTAATATAATACAAGCAGTTAATAATAAAATTATTAATTTATTTTAAATTTTAAAATAAATATTTAATTCAGGAGCAGATGTTTTTAAAACTCTTAGATCTTATTCTATAAGATATCACGATATCCTTAACAGCTGCAGTAAGCACTACCTGCCGGTAATACTTTATTGTCGGTGTTAGCGCAACCCCTGATGGCCGATAAGTAATCTTCTATTTCTGTAAAAGTATAATATTGAGCTACGTATAAATTAATAGATCTATAAGACTTTTTTTAGAAAAATATCTCCTACAATATCTTCTCGTAGTCTGTAATGTGGTAGTTCTTAATGTTAGATAATACATGATATTTGGCTTTTCTTACTCCTATTGTATAATATCAATAAATTATTACGATTATATGCTCGCGTAACCGTGTAGGTTTCGTTGGTACTATGATTCATACTCCTTATATCCATACATTCTACCATCAAGGTTAGGTTGGGTTATTCCGTAAAAATATGAAAAAGTGCCCCATTGCCCAAAACGGAGTAAGGTCTATAGGAAATTCCCGTTTCTGTGTATGCTTATTTGGCCATGTTCATCATATTTCTGTTTTGAAGATTAGGCAGAAACACAGGAAAACGTATCACCAATCTCATTACTCACATTATATAATTAGCTTAACGTTTCTACAACAATGCGTTTTAATCCGTTGTGATTTAAGGGGGCTGCAGCAGGTTTTGTCAAAAGTCAAATCTAATGTAGATTTGACCAATCTAAACATTAATTTTGTTTGTTATAATGTTTTTCAATATATTTAAATTCCGTATCATAAAATAAACCTTAAGGAGGCTTGAGGGGTCTCTAGTCAATAAAAAAAAGTGACATTTAGACCAATAAGCTAGATAAAACTGGAAGAATTTAGTTTCACAGATCTTAATTTTGAAAACGGATTATGATTCATCAACAAGTTTACTAGGGAATGATCGAGGTGATTTTGAATATTTAAATTATTGTTAGTGTCATAATGAATAATATAAATACAAAAATATAATTTTTTTTCGATATTTTTATTCTTGGATATCACAGCTGAAAAAAAAATATTTAAAATCGCCTCGATCATTTCCTAGTAAACTTGTAAACTTAAGATTGAAATTCGCAGTTATAGCAACACTTTTTCGTTTAATAGTATATTAAGATTACATATTAGCAAACAGCAAAAGGCATAATACTAAGGAGGTACCTTTTTTTTTCTTTTTAAGGAGTTGGACACGTAATTTAAGATAAAAAATATAAATTATATTTTAAGCATCCATTAATAAAATAAATATTTTTATTTAGATAACCTGTAGTTATGATCAGATTGCCACCAGTCATAATATTTCACGTCTCCAAAATTAAAACTTATTTTAGGGGTACAATAATCAAATCATAAATTTATTTGTCATTCATATATTTTATAAATAAAACATTATACTTCATATAATAAAATTGTTTTAAATTTGAATGGTGATTTTAATTTTGTTAAACTATTTCACATAATATTCTTTATTTTGCTTATAGCAGGCCTGCAATTCTTTTATATGTAGGACGTAGGTAGGTATAAATTATTATGAATATCA